AAATTCGTGAAGCGTTCCAAAATTTTTTGTATTTTCCCATCTCCACCTCGACTGTATTTAGAATATAGGCTGCATTCCATTTTTGCCTATCCTACTTTCGCACTGATTGAGATTTATATTAGACGCAGTAAACTCTTGCACAACCAAAGGCCTTTGGAAAATTTCGAGACTAATTTCAGAAGACCCCACGAATTATGGACAAGAACTGAATTTTATTGATATGAACTTGAAATCAGGACACGACTGCCTTTTTACACCACGAATTCACCCCAAAAGTACCTGTAGTTAGTCTTAACTGCTGGCGGTTCATGTTGTCTATTACTTCTCATGAAGGCTTATGTCACGACAATAAATAAACTAATCAACAATTCCCCAGGTCATCTAATTAAGAAAAAAACCACATGAGTCAAAATTCAAATTGAAAGGGGCCACTCCATTATGTTCTCCTCACTAACGATAAGATAGGAATGAGAGCGCTAATGACACGTAATGGGCTCATTTGATCATTTTTTTCTCATACTTCTGGTAAATACCGGTTTAGTGTGAAGTACTTCTTAGATTGCTTTGAATTTGGCACTGGTCTAAAAATTGATCCTGACCCAGGGATGGACCTCATTGCTTGACCCAAGAGTGGAGCAGCTCCAGGGTGGATGACCTGTGCAGAAAAGTGGATGGGATGTGGGCAGGTAGTGTGGAATGTAGGACATCCACCGGTCCTTATCAAAAGTACGCTCGAAATGAGTCGTTCACTTATTATCTTATCCGTAGTGTTCGATAGCCCAAAGAACTGCTCTCTAGTACTACGGATAAGATAGCAAGGAGTGGCACCCCCGAACTGGATTTCCACCAAGCTCATGTATACGAAGTAACTAAAAAGAAAAAAAAACATGGTTCGTCTCCGTTCAATCGGCTGGCTACTCAGCAGAAAATTATATGACCTGCAAGATCGCTATGGAACATTCAATTCTTCTCACGGTACAGTCGCCGTTCTGTTTTCTTTATAAAATTTCTATAAAATTATAAATTTTTTTTCCATGCCAGGATCGGATAGAGTAATTCGATCGGTTTTTTGATAATCTATGACTGATGCGTTTATAGATCCAGTAAAACGTGGCTGTTAATAGAC